CTTCCAAGCACTGGGATTATACATAGAACCACCATGACGTCTAGTTTACAAAGAGCTTTTTATAATGTTAATCTTAGTGGGTTTTTACCAATGCAAATCCCTTGGAGGCAAGTGGCCCACACACTGGAAATCAGGCATGTAACCATTCAATTAAAAACGTAATTGAGTAAAAACTTTTCACATAGTGAGGAGCCTCCTGTGGGCAGTGACTATTGCACTGAACACTCAGGCATTAATAGCTTCTGTCCCTGCAGAAAGTCCTATTGGGTTCTCCACAGTGGTAGACAATCAACCACTGGACACAAGGTAGCCAGGCATCTTTCCATTTTCCCAGTTCAAAACTTAATGCCTGCTATGTAATAGGCATCTATTAGCTGAATTAACAAAGGAAAACAGTGGACATTGTTCACTCAACTGTATCACTGTAAAAGAACCACAGTTCCCACAAGCCATACGACCAAGCATAGACACCCAAACTTTTATCGATCGGCACAAAGCTAAAAGCAAGCTATTTTCATTTTCTCCAGGATGAGAACACCAATATGCATCATTAAGGTATAATTATAGACTCCATCTCTCAGTGGTTAGTTTGGAAGAACACTATCGATTCTAATTTATTTTTTCTAGGCCATCGAGGCTTCGTTGCTCTATCAGTGACCCTATGGACTCATTAAATCTTTCAGCATGATATTTATGCAACTGTTTAATGAGTCCTCCAACACCTTCGGCTCTCTGAATCTCATGCCTATTATTTCAGTGGTAAATGTCTGTCTTTAATTAATCATCTCCGTCACAGACTCAAAGGAGACCACACAAAGGTCACAGAACTTTCTGTTGGTGAAAGGATTCTTTGTTTACACATTTAAAGGTCTTCAAAGACACACACTGCAGACTTAGAGGTCCCTTTAAGGGTTTAGACATCCTTATTCTCAAGAGAAATTCCTTTATTTCTTGTCTAAATCTTCCTAAATGTAACCTGAAGCAGTTATATTGCCTCTGTTGCCAAAGAAAAAGAGCAAGGTGAGGGGTCACACTCTCCAGAGAAGCCCCTTCGTGCTTCTTAAATTCAATCTAGAAGGAGATGGTTCTCTTTCAAGATAGTCTTTAGACTTTTTTTTTTTGTATTCCCCAGTGTAAACTAGGGCATAATAAGTAGAACATCAAAGATATATGAAAGCCAACTGCTTAACAAGTAAAACTATGCCCATAGCACAACCTACACACTAGCCTCTCATATACACTAGCCCCTAGTATACTTTAGCCCCTGGTCCACAGTAGCCCCTTATAGACACTAGATCCTAGTACATACTAGTCCCTTTCTGGGATATTTTAGAAGAAAGATGAATTAACAAGAATGCCTATAGAGCTCTGGGGATGTGGAAGACTTCACCAAGGAGAGATTAGGAACAGTAGAAAGAGTAAGACGCCAAGGACACCAAATCCATTTAGCCTCTGGTTTGAAGTCAGCACCTATATGCATATGCTAAATGGTGAGACGAGGTTGTGGGGGTGGGGGATCACTAATCTCTCAAACCTCTGTTTCTTCAAGCGTACAACACTGAGAACAAGAAGCCAGTACAAGTGTTGTGGTCAGAAGGTGTAGACAACAGAGAACATGGAATAAAACCTACTTTAAAATTACTTTAATTAGGATAACGTTTAATACCTTTCTATTGCCATTAGTTGGCTTTTAATATGCCAAAGCATGGGGGAGCTATGCGTTCTATTCTTTTGTGTTCCCTGCTGCAAAAGTCTAGAACACATCAGGTACTTAATAAATGTTTGTCATTATGTTGCATTTTCCCCAAGGTAATGCTGTTAGTATTTTTAGAAGTGGGTCAGTCTATGGATCCTTAATTTTTTTCAAAGACTCACTTTATTTTAATAATGTTTATATAAGTGTCTGTGTATGTGCGAACTTAGGTGCCCTTGGGGTCCAGAAGAAAATGTCAAACCCCTTGAAGCTGGAGTTCAAGGCAAATGTGAGCTGTTTGGCATCATGGGTGCTGGGAATGGAACGTGGGTCCTCTGCAAGAGCTTAGTAAACTTTTAAAACTGCTGAGCCATCTCTCCGGGTCCCACCAGGTTTCTTATCTAGTGATTCACATCTATGCAAAAGGAGCAGACACTTTCTTGAAAGTTTACTAGACAGTGACTTGTCACTACTAAAGAAGCTGTAAGGATTAGAAGTCTGGTCTACCCATTCAGCGCCACCTATTGATCTCAGCTAATATCAAGGAGTGTACGTTTTTCATCAGTGAAGAAGTGTGCACTCACCGTTCTAAAAACATGGACCTCAGCTATCGCATACCCGTACACTAGGGACCCACCTTTTTCATATCATAAGCATGAGAGTTGTATGTCCTACTAGCTCTAATTAATTTGCTCATTTTCAATTGCTGATTATAAGTAGAAATGTTTAGTAAAAAATAAGAAACATTTTGGGGAAATTAAAACTGGAACAGAAATGACTATATACTGTTACATAAGAATAATATGTATTTTTTTAAACCATAAAATACTATAATTAGCTTTTTTCTGGTTTAGCAGTGAGACCTATTTTCCATGAAAAGCGTGAGGTTAGTTTATTTTTACATCACCCCTGCCTCTGAGCAGCTAAGGGGAGCAAAGTAAAAATGTGATTAAAGATATCTTTTTGGAAGTCCAGGTACTATGGGAATACTCTTTTAAAAGATACATCATTTTGGGTTTTTTGTTTGTTTGTTTGGTTGGTTGGTTGATTGTTTTGTTGTTCTGTGCCAAACAGAAAGCCCAGTTGTTTTTCTGAAGGGAATGAAGTTGTTAATGGGACGGCAATAAGCCCAACAGAACGCTAGGACAAAATGTAACATGTATAATCTCTGTGTTTGCTTTGAAAATAATCTTGTATTCTTTGGGCCACTGTCATTTGTATCTTTGGAGAGACTCCAGAGTTCTACTTGTAGCAAAGAATGCCTCACAATGGCTCTCAAACAAAGCCAGTGAGATGGCTCAGCTGGTAAAGGCACTGGATGCCGAGGCAGATCAAAGTTTGAACCCTGGGACCCACAGGGTGGAAGCAAAGATCCAACTCCTGCATGCTGTCCTCTGACCTCCACACGCGTGCTGTGGCACCTTCCCTCCACAAAAAGAAATAAACCACCAGGCAGCAACAAACAAACTAAAAAGATCCAAATGAGGAGGGTGTTTCCAAACCTCCCCTGTTGCTCACGGTACAAGATGGAAATCAGTATAAGCCAACCCTCCTCCTCCTCTCCAGGAATGAGCTTTATTACAGGGCACACAGTTGTCACTGATGAGAGGATGTCAGAAATCATGATGAGGCTGTAACTTTGCTCTTAAATGCTGTTTTTCTCTCCTCCTCCTTTTCCTTCTCCTCCTTCTCCCTCTACCCTTTCCCCCTTTCACTCACCAAGAGAAAAATAATGATATCAATGGGCCAAGCTTATGGTTAGATAAAAAACATAATTCAAGTATGGCAGCAGCTTACAGGTTTTTCCATATGCTTAAGACAGGATGTAGGAATGTTTTAGAACCCTGACAGTCACATCATGGTCACAGGGAATGTGAATGTCTAGTCATTAAATGAAAGAGATGGCTAGAAGAACAGATTCTTCTATCCAACTAGACCTCTTGGATCAGGATGTGTACTTAATAAGATGCCGAAGTAATTCACAGACCCCTAAAGATTTAGTTGGCACTGAGCAACTGGTGAAGAGGGCCTGCAGGGATTTACTTCCCTTCCTCAGGAAGGAGTTGCTTGCAACCATTTTTGGACATGCTTCTATATTATGTTACATCATAGGGCAACAAATATTTCAAGAAAAATATTTTCAGTTTCACTGTAAAACTCTATTTTTGTTACATCAGAAAAGCATCTTGCTATTAAAAAACATTGCTCTATTTTAAAATACACTTTATTCTTTAATCTTTTAATTCCTTACCACAGTGTCTTCATGGAATATAGTATAATATCTCAGTACAGGCATATGGCATGTGTGGATCGGGATAAGGAGATTGGTGCACCCATTACCTTAAACATATAGCATGGTGTGTGTGTGTGTGTGTGTGTGTGTGTGTGTGTGTGTGTGCACGTGCGAGTGTGCATGTGTGTGAAGGGGGGGAGAGCAAGAGTGTATGTGTACATGTGTATTGAACACATTCAAAATCCCCCCTACTAATTATTTTCTAGTGCACAATAAGATGTTGTCAGCCATAATTAGCCAAGCTATTGTGCAGTTAGAAATTTGACCCTTTTTATTCTCCAACCACAAGGATGTCTTCTTCCAAACACACACGCTCTGCAATGGCACAGACCAGTTTTCGAAGTAGTGTAAAGAATGCAATGAATTGTCACAACACAGCTGCAAGCGCAAGTCCCCCGGTCAAAGTTCAGATTTGCCATCTGCTCCAGTCTCCAGCTGATAACCCAGTATTCCTACTGCAGGAGTGTAATCTAGTGTTCTTGCTTCCACAGGGTCAGGGTCATGACCTGTCCTCTTAACTCCAAATGTCGTGTGATAATAAAATCAACTTTGCTGAATTTTTAGAAGGAACACTATGATGTGGAATAGAATGGACTAAGATGATCCCCTGAGAGACTCCCCTTTAATTTGGGGATGTAAGGAAAGGGGGACAGTGAAAGTCACCCGAAAATCCACTTCCAAAGTGGGAAGAACAGATGAAAAGCAAGGAAAGAAAAAGGAAGATTAAAAAGGGAAGCCAATTTTGTAGACAGAAGCAAAAGGAAGAAAGAGGAAGAAGAACGAAGAAAAGGGATTTTATGTGCACTGGAAAGAACGCAAAGATGCAGAAATCATCACCAAAGGAGTTTAAGAAAGGCCAAGGAAGCCATCCCAGATTTGTCGGAAATTCCACAGGAACTAGATGGGACCGTGGAGGAGGGAGGGCAAGGACCAGATAGGCAAGCCCACCCTGTCTGCACAGGGGATGGCCACACACCACCCTTCTCTCAAAGGGGCCCTCCCATCCAGTCCTACCTGGCTAGAAGGACGGCGCTCACCACTTGAGAGCTTGAGGGTTGGGGGGAGTAAAGTTGGGGGGAACAGAGGGATCCTCATGGCAAGTTTCCGACAACACTGAGGAGGAGCCTTCCCCCTGTGTGGAGAAAAAGGGAGGCTGTCATTTCTATGGCAAGGAAATGGCTTTCTGAGTCACCTGGTGTTTCAAATGTAGGTCTGGGTGGCCCCCTTGATGTGCCATCTGGAGTAGCAGTGTAACACCCCCCACCACCCCTCAGCACCTGCAGGGCAGCACAGGGCCCAGCTGGCTTCAAAGGCACTGGCACTGTGAATTGACTTCCTGACTCTTCCCCATCCTCTCCAGGGATGAGACGCTGGACGTGATGGCAACTTTGTGTGTCCCACTCCGCCAAGAGACCCGAGAAAAGGTGATATTGATTGACAGCTGTTCGGTGGGTCGAGGCAGCCCAGAGTTTTAATGCTCTACTTGCATTCCCGAAGAGAGACTGTTTTAAAACCAAGTTAATTTAATTATCCTTCCACATACATAAAAAAAAAAAAAATTCAAAACTCTTTCCTGGAACTCCCTTCAGCAGCGTATCTATGTGACGACCGGAATCATGCTGAGAAGGCCATGGTGGCCCCTGAGCCAAGCAGCATTCAAATTTATGTGGTGTTCTATAGCAAACAAGTGAAAAGATTTACTGAGCAGCAAGAATGGGGCAGGCATTATTCCTGGTTTTCTGGAATGCACTGCACGGGTATCATCACATAGAAGTGGAGGAAACAAACAGAAGAAGCTCTTGTCCCCTGGCAGCTCACACCCTACTGGGGAAAGACAACCAGACTTAGAAAAGAGATCTGAGTGAATAATCAGTAGACTAAGAGAAAAAGGAGGGAAGGGTCAGAAATGGAAGTTGGTGGTTGGGTGCAAATTTAAGATTGTTTTTCTTAACCTTCAAGTGTATTGGTGTTTTACCTCCCTGTGTGACTGTGTACCACGTATGTGCCTAGTGACTACAGAGGCCAGAAGAATGTGTCGGGTTTGTAACTAGAGTTACAAACAGCTCTGAACTGCCATGTGGGTGCTGGGATTTGAACCTGGGTCCTTTGGAAGAGTAGCAAAAATTAACAACCTCTCCAATCCTGCACGGTCCCAAATTTAAATAGCGTGCTCATGCAACATCTCCTCGAGATCTCTGATTTGACTTGAAATACAAGAGAGGGTTGTTCAATAAACACTTGGAATATGAGGCCCAATCTATACAGGGCCCAAGGTGGGATTGGCTGGCTTGTTGGGGCTTAGCAAAAAGGCCAGTATGACCGAACAGTGGTGGATCCATATGGAAATGAAGAATGGATGCATAATGAAAGGGTTGGATCTTGTGAGCACTTATTGTAAGAGAGACAGAGGCCATCAAAAGGCCTTGAACAGAGAAGTGGTTTGATTTAAAGGCTGACTCTGGTTGTCAGGCTAGGAAGAGAGACTGGATACCCAGAAGTATAATGTGTATAATAGGAAACCATTAAAAACCAAGGTGAAATGGTCGCCTTGATTTTGGCTAAGGTGGTTGCAGTGAATAAGTACTTGACGTCTTAATACGTTGTGTTATGTTTCAAATTCTTGGGTTTTCTGCTTCCGTCAAAAGGAAAGAGCAATAAGCAAAAATGCCGTTTGAACCTTTCAGATAGAAACTTCAAAACTTCCTTGTCAGAATCAAAGATTCAACTGATGATTGAATAAATTCAGAAGACATGTGCCAACTGATCTTTGCTGCTTATGTAAAATGTATGAATGCAACTCCCACATCTGACTGACTACAATGACACCCCAGAGGCATAACCCAAGAAACAGAGAAAGGAACTCTCGGGGTTAGCCGCTCTGCTTCTGTGTCGGGCATAATTTTGTACAATTTTCTTAGCACAGGGCCATGCACCGTCCCTTTGATGACAGCCTTTCCTTTGGTCAAAACTCACAATTTGAATTACCAAGATTTCAAGAGTTTTAAGATAGACTCATGGGATAAATGGTTAAATATGCTTCTTGATTTAAGTTTCACCATGCCCCCCTTAAAATGTCAAAGGCTTGAGTAAAATCACGCAATAGTTTTCAGATGTCAACTATACTTTTATAAATTTTGCTTTAAGCGTGTTTAGGATGCGTGTATTAATAATTTTCATTGCCCCTTTTACCCCAAAATAGGACTTGGAAATTAGAGATATATTGAGATTTTAAAATCCAATTAGTAGTAGAAAAATGCAGGCAAAGATGCATGGTGGCATGAACATGGGACAGGAAGCTGAAAGGGACCCCAAGGCTCCTGTCCTTGAGTGTGCAGGCTTTTTGTGTATGGCCATGGAAAGATGGAACACCTCTCATTCAATGCCTGACGCTCAACTGGGATTTAGTGAGAAGACTCAAGACCGTCTCCTTAGCAGGTGGAGAGTATCCCATTGGAATCTCTGCCTCAGTCCAATATAACTAATTGCATATTCCCACATCATCTCATTGCCAGGGAGGGAAAATCCGGAAAAGGAGGAAGAAAGGAAGTTACCTGGGGAGAGAAAAGGAGGAAGCATCAACTGCCCCCGAGTGAATGAATCTATGTTACAGCTTGGTTTAAACTTCAAATCTATTATGTTTTAGAAGTCAGCTGGCATCAGGAATCTGTGAAGAAGCCCAGTGCACACCATCTTAAGGGGTAGCTGCTTCACAGGCAGAGATTCGTCAGTATGTTTCTGTCATAATCACACAGTCCAATTTTCCAAGAGACATTGAAGATTTTTCAACACAAAAAATTTCTGACTTGTGCACAGTATGGGCAGCTGTGCGATAATGCTCCAAAGAGAGTGAGGGAACGGCTAACGCCATCTATGTTTTCAGTTCCAGAGAGCCGAAGGGTCGCTGAGGCTCGGCAGTGGTTTTAGAACATAGGCATCAATAACAGCAACAGCGGGATCTTTGGTGACTTGGCTTCAAACATTTATCTGTCTAGACTCAAGCCTACTTGCATGTCTTTCCTACTTCTTGCCTGCATTAGCTGGGGAAAACAGCTTTGTAAGACTGCATGGAGCTAAACTCTATACTGCGCGAGTCACTTCCCTGTCATGCACAAGCAGTTTCCCGCAGATGTCGCATCTCTGTTAAAATGGGACTAGCCCAAACATTAAAGAATTAAATATTGCCACAAGGAATGGTTTTGTCTCAAGAATTGGGTTGCTTAGGCTGTCTCTCCCACTGAAAACAGAAACAATTTGGATTTGATTTTAAAACTATCTTCTTTAGAAAACACTTAATCTTAAGGAATGACCAGGCCCAACCAAAAGGAACAAGGTACCCAAGCAACTGAAATCTAAATGCATTGCATTGCCCCTGCGGGCTCTTGTTCAAACTGGAGCATTTGAATTCCTTTCTGGAAACTTAGAAGTGTGAAGATCCTGTACCCCAAACCTGAGGCCTCTCCAGAGTCAGGAAAGTCACAGGGAATCCTCCCTACAGATGGCTATGGCCTCCAGACCATTGACTCGAATAACCCAACAGAACTTCTAGAAAGAAAAGAAAGCACACAACGTAAGAGTTAAAACTTAGTGGATGAGCAGGGTAGAACCAGTGCATCAGAAAGACAGTCAGGAAAAAGTAAAAACAAAACTGTCCACAGGGAAGTACAGAAAAAAAAAGATGAAAAAAATCCTAAGTGAAAAGGGGAGAAAAATAGTAAGAATCTATTTTGTTCATGTGTTTGTATACTAGTGTGAGGGCATGCACATGCATGCAGACATATGTACAAACATGCACACAAAATAAAATCCTAGAAGTGAAGGAAAACATTAAATAGAAGCCATTGTTTGCTGATCGCTGATAGTTCTGACAGAACAGATGAAGCTCTGTGTCTGGCCATTGCAAACACACAGATACATTTTAGAGTTATCTGTCTGGCCACTTCAAATACACAGATACATTTATAAAGTTATCTATATGGTCATTTCAAACACAGAGATACATTAGAGTTATCTGTCTGGCTATTTCAAACACAGATACATTATAGAGTTAGCTGTCTGGTCATTTCAAACACACAGATGCATTATGGAGTTATCTGTCTGACCACTTCAAACACAGAGACACATTATAGAGTTATCTGTCTGACCACTTCAAACGCAGAGATACATTATAGAGTTAGCTGTCTGGCCATTTCAAACACACAGACACATTATGGAGTTATTTGTCTAGCTATTCAAATACACAGAGACATTATAGAGTTATCTGTCTGGCCATTTCAAACACACAGATACATTATGAAATTATCTGTTTGGCCACTTAAAACATACAGATACATTATAAAGTTGTCTATCTGGCCATTTCAAACACTGAGATATGTTAACGTTATCCGTCTGGATACTTCAAACACAGATACCTTTTAGGTTCATCCGTCTGGGTGGCCATTTCAAGCACACAGATACATTATGGAAACAACATATAAGATAAAAGGGAAAAGAATAAATGAAGTCAAAGGGGAGAAATACAAACCATGTCTAAAGAACTACACTAACACTTAATTACACTGCAGGAAGGCAGCACAATTTTATCCCCAATGAGCTGCCAGAAAGTAACTTCCAACACAAAATTCTATACCCAGTGAAAATGTCACCGCAGAAGGCAGGCAATATGGACGCTTGTGCACATATTTTGATCTAAAGAATGTTTGACAGAGAAGGCTGTGAGCCTGTAGGTGAAAATGACTGAGTAGTAATGGCCTGGCATACACTAGTCTCATCTCTTGGAAGTTTAGGCATCTTTATGATCATCTCATGCCATTATTGTTGTCAGTGTCTTCCTCCCTCAAGGACATCCAAAAACAACTGGGGGACACAGTAAAATTAGGTCGAAACTTCTGTAGAGCCTTTATTCTCCCTGAAGGAACCACTCCTTACGTATCGGTGAGATGTATAACTAACATTTTTGCTAGTTTTACTGTATTTTAGAGTAGTACTGTATTTTAGTGCAGAGACATTGATGCTTTTTTATTAAAATTTATTCTAATTTTAGGAAGTCTTTATGAGCACAATAGATTTCAAAAGTAAATCGAGATGGGATAAAGAGAGTCAAAAATCATCCTGATAGCCAAGTATCTTCCGTAA